CTGCAATTAGTACAAAGCTCTGCAGCCAGAATTAACACGTACAAATAGGAGGTCTCACATATCCCCAATCCTAAAAGAACTTCATTGGTTACCAGTGTCTTATAGGATAGATTTTAAAATTTTGTTTTTAGTTTTCAGAGCTTTACATGGCCAGGCTCCCCCCTATACGAGTGACCTAATTCAGCGTTATGCCCCTGTGCGCGCTCTGAGGTCTGTGGATCATGTATGGCAAATTTGGGGTAACTATTTTATTTTGCAGTGTCCTTGTTACATGTTATTAATGTGGTAATAACTATAAATTACACATAGTTACATGCATCTAACCCTAAACCAAACGCTAAGGTTAGGGTTAATTATTATCACATTTACATTTATTCATTTAACTGACACTTTTGTCCAAAGTGACTTACAGTTGCTATATATGTCAGAGGTCGCACGCCTCTGGAGCAACTAGGGGTTAAGTGTCTTGCTCAGGGACACATTGGTGTCTCACAGTGGATTCGAACCCGGGTCTCTCACACTATGACATGTATCTTATCCACTGCACCAACAGCACCCCACTACTACTCAATACTTAAATGTCTAATTGTTTGATTTAACATTTATCAAAATCCTAACACAAATTATGTAAGGTTTGGTGGCAGATTCAATATACTCAATCTTTAGTGTGAATATGATTTAATCAATGCAGCACTAATTATAAGTATTAAATACTTCTCCTCTCATTAATCATCAGAGCCTGACAGCTCGTATATTTTCTCTCTTTGTGTTCTGGGAAACTTTGGGAATCCAGCAGTTTCATCTCTGGCAATTTATTCTGTCTGTGTTCAATCAGTCCAGCGAACTCGGTCAGTAAGAGCTTGTGCCCCTCCTCAATCGGTTACTGTGTTAAACATGTTACTATGCTGAAAACCATACTGGAGTACAAGTACAGATACACTGCATTAAAAATTAGTTACAAGTCACCAATTCCAATAATACTGGAGTAAAAGTCAAAGTTGCTGATTTGAACAGTTATTCAATGTTTTACTCATACTGAACATGTGCTCAAAGATGCACTTGTCCTAAACACTGGATAGACATGTTAGTGAAAAATAAGAAACAATTGATCTGTAATATGAGAAATCATCATTTTTAAAAATCTAAATAAAACGGAACACCTAAATATTGCAATATATAAAAGGTCAACACACCAGCCTCTTAACCCTAACCCTGCTGGACAGAGAGTAAGAAGAATGATTATCAGTGTGTGTGTGTGTAGTTTAACCCTAACCCTGGATCTGTCCTGGAGAGTCTGGAGAGCTGAAACTGAAAACCTGAGAGACTATAATGAGAGACACTTCAGCTAACAGAGGTTAATAAGAGTTACAAACGGTCTCTGTCCAACCCAGTCCTCATGGCCAACATCCCATTACCCGTTTGGAAGAGGACAGCAAGTTTTTGGCTTTATAGTGTGTCTGGATTTCTACATGCTATAGAGCCCTGCACGAGAGCAGAGGTAGAGCTGGCTACATTCATCCATCATCAGCCGTGACAGAGAGAAAGCGATAGCCCTGTAATATCACAGCCAAGCCTCCAACACTGAGCTTGCAAATATTCTACACGCTGCCGAATAACAATAAAAAGGGCAAACGGCTCCAAATGTGTTCCAGCCCGAATTCCAAATCACACGAGCAATGACAGGAAATCCGAACACAAGTGGAGGTCAAAATGAATATCTAAAACAAATGCATCATTTACTCTGCTAATAGCTGATAATTCATTGCATAATTATTTCAAATATCCGTCATATTTTTTAATCACACAAATACATAAAGATATATTACGAGCCTATTCTGAGCGGCAAACAAATGTGCACAAACTGCTTTCTTTTATACGTGATGCCCAATTTATTTTACAAGATCCCAATGATCCCTGGAATCTTTATGGTTTGCCCAAAAAACTTAAAGCTAAACTTATGTTATTTACATTTATTAATTTAGCTGATGCTTTTATCCAAAGCGACTTACAATTGCTGTATATGTCAGAGGTCGCACGCCTCTGGAGCAACTAGGGGTTAAGTGTCTTGCTCAGGGACACATTGGTGTCTCACAGTGGATTCGAACCCGGGTCTCTCACACCAAAGGCATGTGTCTTATCCACTGCGCCACCACCACCCAATGTTAACAATAGGCCTCCTGCACCTAAAGAGCATTTCAGTTTTGCTTTCAAATTAGCACCAATTTGAGGGCAGATTGTTTGAATGGTAAGTTCATTATCATATCATTCTTAAAAACACAACAACAAAACAGTACAATGAAAAATTATCTTAAATAGACGCTTTTACATTCTTCCATTATCATCAGCTCCTCACTCTTGTGATAAATAAAATTTGACTCCTGCAGCTGATCTGTGCTGCGACTCTTGTTCAGTGCACACTTAAGCATACATTTTCAGTTTTTAATTGTAGAGTCTGTTCTCTAACTGAACTAAATTATTTTACTATAAAAAATAAAATAAATCGACAGTGGGGGCAGTGCCGTGGTCGGCAAGTTGCTTCCTAAAACCATCAACACGACTACTGTAGGAAGCCTACCGCTCCCCACTCCTTCACCATCACTTCGCTCTCCACCTGTAATTCTGCCACAGCGCCTCGCCGGAGGCCGATATGTCACCATTATGTTCTGTTTCTGTTTTCAAGGACCTTCAGTTTGATTTCATTTGTCAGGTGTCTTTGGTAATGGTCATTATTAGTTAATTTGTACTAGCTGTGTTATGTTAATCATCTTGTTTGTTTATTACTTAAGCTGTGGCTTGTCTTCATTCCCTGTCTGATCACTGTTACGTTTAGTGTTTGCCACCGCCTGTCTGCCTGCCTAAGGGAGTGTGATGATGCTTTGAGTGTTCTGAACTTGATCTGTTTGTCTTAATCTTAAGGTTATTAAATGAATGCTAGGCTAAAGAGATTCTAAAACGAAACTAGAGGTATTTGGCATTTTCTGGAAGGAGAGCTCGAATGCATACAGAGAGGCCTTAAATGCTACTAGGATCTAATTATTTATATATATTTTATTTGCAGGTTTTTGGCCCATTAAGTTTTATCTGAATTTATAGACGAAAATGATAAGTCATCAAATATTTTATACGTTTTACATACTCTGTCAACTTAGATAATTTATAGATTTCAGGTCATGATGAAATGTAACTGAGTATTATAAGCATAACAATGGAAACTAATTCAATGTTTTCTTATAATATTACCAAGTGGCAGCATATTGAAAATAGCAGAGGGCCGAACACAGATCATTACGGCAGTCCATAATTTACTGATGTTATCTTAAATTTTTCCCCATTTAAATAGACAAAATGGTAATGGTCTGATATGTACAATCTAAACCAACTTAAATCCTGTCCCTAAATACCAGTGTAATTTTGTAGTCGATCTAAGAGTATTTGATAATCTATAGTGTCAAACGCTGCGTATAATTCAGCCAGACACGGAAACTCATTATTGTTAAACGTCAATAAATATTAGGCTAATATTGAAAAGAAAAGAATTGGTAAGACAGCCAATTAATCAATAACATATATATATATATATATATATATATATATATACACTCACCGGCCACTTTATTAGGTACACCTGTCCAACTGCTCGTTAACACTTAATTTCTAAGCAGCCAATCACATGGCGGCAACTCAGTGCATTTAGGCATGTAGACATGGTCAAGACAATCTCCTGCAGTTCAAACCGAGCATCAGTATGGGGAAGAAAGGTGATTTGAGTGACTTTGAACGTGGCATGATTGTTGGTGCCAGAAGGGCTGGTCTGAGTATTTCAGAAACTGCTAATCTACTGGGATTTTCACGCACAACCATCTCTAGGGTTTACAGAGAATGGTCCGAAAAAGAAAAAACATCCAGTGAGCGGCAGTTCTGTGGGCGGAAATGCCTTGTTGATGCCAGAGGTCAGAGGAGAATGGCCAGACTGGTTCGAGCTGATAGAAGGGCAACAGTGACTCAAATAACCACCCGTTACAACCAAGGTGGGCAGAAGAGCATCTCTGAACGCACAGTACGTCGAACTTTGAGGCAGATGGGCTACAGCAGCAGAAGACCACACCGGGTGCCACTCCTTTCAGCTAAGAACAGGAAACTGAGGCTACAATTTGCACAAGCTCATCGAAATTGGACAATAGAAGATTGGAAAAACGTTGCCTGGTCTGATGAGTCTCGATTTCTGCTGCGACATTCGGATGGTAGGGTCAGAATTTGGCGTCTACAACATGAAAGCATGGATCCATCCTGCCTTGTATCAACGGTTCAGGCTGGTGGTGGTGGTGTCATGGTGTGGGGAATATTTTCTTGGCACTCTTTGGGCCCCTTGGTACCAATTGAGCATCGTTGCAACGCCACAGCCTACCTGAGTATTGTTGCTGACCATGTCCATCCCTTTATGACCACAATGTACCCAACTTCTGATGGCTACTTTCAGCAGGATAATGCGCCATGTCATAAAGCTGGAATCATCTCAGACTGGTTTCTTGAACATGACAATAAGTTCGCTGTACTCAAATGGCCTCCACAGTCACCAGATCTCAATCCAATAGACCATCTTTGGGATGTGGTGGAACGGGAGATTCGCATCATGGATGTGCAGCCGACAAATCTGCGGCAACTGTGTGATGCCATCATGTCAATATGGACCAAACTCCCTGAGGAATCCTTCCAGCACCTTGTTGAATCTATGCCACGAAGAATTGAGGCAGTTCTGAAGGCAAAAGGGGGTCCAACCCGTTACTAGCATGGGGTACCTAATAAAGTGGCCGGTGAGTGTATATATATATTGCTTTATCACCATCCTTCCTCACACGGTGACGTCACTAGTGTCATTCAGTCTTCATGAACCGCCCTCTCTCTCTCTCTCTCTCTCTCTCACACACACACACTCTCTCTCTCTCAGGCGATCAAAGCGCCGGAATAATGGTAAGGCTGAACGGAGTCTGAGGAGTCTTGAGAGGAATTTTCAGGCGTCGAGAAGAATAAAAAAAGAAAGACAGAAAATAAAATAATTTAAAATGGAAATAAACACGAACTCGTGAAATATAGGACTGGAGTACAACGACATATTGAACAGATGTTCGTGAACTCATCGTTACCTGTTTTTATTTGTATGCTCAGCGTCATGGATTTATTAGAAGTTGGTGTTATTGCGTAAAATTAATCAGTAATTTTCAAATCAAAACGTCAAAACGTGTCGAAGCCAAACGCGAAAAGGGATTTCCCGATGAAATGGAGTTCAACTGTCTATATCAGAAGTTATCAATCTGGATGATTTATTGACGGACTTTTCTGGAAAGACTTTTAGTTTTTGTGAAGAGTTTCGTCAGTGATTTACAGTCGTTTCGTTGTATATATTTTAATTGGCAAACAGCAGGACTATCGGGAAGTTTTAGTCTTTCACGGCAACAAACGGAAAAGACGCAGGAAAAACATTAATGACCGGCGAAACATGTTGTAGCGAGTGAGCATTATTATAGTGAAAACACGTCCATCTTCTGCATGTGTGAGAAATGAAGGAAAAGTCTAAGAATGCAGCGAAGACACGAAGAGAAAAGGAAAATGGAGAGTTTTATGAGCTGGCCAAACTGTTGCCTCTGCCGTCAGCGATCACATCTCAGCTGGACAAAGCGTCCATCATCAGACTGACCAGCAGCTACCTGAGGATCCGAGGCCTGTTCCCTGAGGGTAACACACACACACACACACACACACACACACACACACACACACACACACACACACACACACACACACACACACACACACTGACCAGCAGCTACCTGAGGATCCGAGGCCTGTACCCTGAGGGTAACACACACACTGACAACCAGCTACCTGAGGACACATATCCCAACACACACAATGCCCAGCAGCTACCTGAGGATCGAGCCCTGTTCCCCGACGGAGAGAGAGAGCGAGAGAGAGAGAGAGAGAGAGAGAGAGAGAGAGAGAGAGAGAGAGAGAGAGAGAGAGAGCGATCTCAGTCACACTCAAAACTCAATGCGTTTAATTTCATTCAATTCATTTTAAAGCATTTTATTTTTTGAAATGGTTGTTGAACCACTAAGCAAACGTCTAAAAATAAAATAATAAATTGAGTTTGTTTTGATGAAATGAAATGATTGCGATTAAATGTTCGGGAGAATCATGTGCAAATACCGCGTTAGAGAGCAGTGATCCTCTTCAGCATTCAGCGCTTAAAAACTAGTTCCTATAAAATAAAACTATTTAATTATAAAAAATAAATAAAAAATGACCAGCTCACATAAAATCCAAAAAACCATCACGGATTCAGTAGCCTATTTTTCTCTTTCCGTCGCTGTCAAAAACACAATATTTTGCTGAGAATCAAAAGCTACATTTTTAATCATAGCAGATTTCAAATTGTAGCCTATCGATATTTCACAAATGAGAGAAAATCGCATTGGGCCTAAAGATCCTACAATTAGATATTTCTTCTAGTCAAAGTTAAGATTTTTTGCCTAGTTCAGTTTCAGCGGTAACAGGAGCACATTCATTTTAAAGATATATAGTTCACCTAAAAATCATTCTGTCGATATTTATTCAAAATATGATCAATTCTTTTTAACATAAAATAAGATATTCTGAGAAATGTCTGACTGGGTCTTTTTTCCATCCGTGACCGTGGGCACCGAAACAGTTACAACATTCTTCAAAATATCATCTTTTATGTTGAACAGAATTAATGATTTATTTGATTTAATTAATTGATTGAATCTTGTATTATTTTGTGATGATGAGCATGACATAACAGTAACACACTTCTCCGTAAAAAACTGAACAAAACAAAAGAATCTGCTGTATAATCTCACAGATGGGCCTAACACAAATCGACTTAGTAGAATTAATTTATCTGTAATATGATCATGCATGATCAATTATAAGCAAAACGAACCAATGTATTTTGACATGTTGTTTTGCATCTGCTCTCTGATGGCGTACTCGGACAGTTTGCATATGATTGTTTAAAACAAACATATGATAGTCTGTAAAAGCAACACTAGACGATTGGCTAGATTAATATTATTTCTCTCTATACGTGAACATGATTAAATATCTCTGACCGCGATATGTTTCATCGCTGGCATAATTAATCTCCGACTGCATTATAATGACGTCCTAATTCGGGAAATAGCCTAATTAAAGATTGCGCATGTGGACGTGTTCGGAGAAATTATATTGAAACTTTACATTTTAATTCCGCTCAAATAAATGAAATGACTTAATGATTATTTCGTTTTGTCATCAAAGTAATCAAATAAGTCAATGATTTGATCTGGATAAAGTTCACAACATGTGAGTGTGTTTATGTATAATCAAGTGCGTAGCAAAAATTATAATGCGTGATTTACAAGTCTTGAGAGAACATCATCATCATCATCCTCATCCTCATCCTCACGCGGGCTCGCTTCTCTGCGTTGGTCATCGATTCATTTCTTCTTCAATGTAAAAGGCTTTGTCGAAATGAATATCTCCACCGCCACGGGAACGCGCATGCAGTTGTCTACGGAGCGGGAACGGGCCCTACATTATATATTTAGATTAGTCTATGCTATAATAACGCGTTGTCGCAATTCTGTCATTGACCTTTTACCAGTAGCCCATACAATTAATAGCCTGTATAAAATTGTTTCGATGAAAGTTGGGTCATTTTATGTAATATAATAAGCACATTAGCCTACGGCTTCAGAGAAATAATATTTTACGTTAAAATTGTTTTTTCCAGATTCACCACATTAAATTTAGAAATAAAGTTTAATCAGCATATGTAATAATAAAGACTGATGACCTACCGTTAAAATGCAGTTTAAATTAGTTTATGATTCTAAGACAATTCACTTTTGCTAATTATTATACATATTTAAGCTAACTCAATTCTTCATATCCCTGGCTCTATATAGCACGAGTTCATGCTTTTATTTTTGTGCTCTTTATACGCAAAACCGATTGTGCATCTGTTTCGCTGAATTGACCCGCTGTGTAAAACTGGTTGTGTGTGTATTTCGTATCATAAACAGGCTAAAACAGTGCACATCGGATGCCCGTAAAAGGCCGTTTCTGCGCATGAAGAGCTCGCTCGCTAGTCCTGTCTGACTCATGCAGGAACGGGAATATGCCGTTTATTGATGACGCGATTCAAGCTCGACGTTCGCTAATAAAACTGTGTTAGTAATGAAGGTTTGACTGACCTGTGTGTGTGTGTGTGTGTGCAGGTCTCGGAGGCGCCTGGGGTCAGTCAGCACGGCTCAGTCCTCGGGATCTCATGGCCAGGGATCTGGGATCTCACCTGTTGCAGGTCAATGCTTTAAAAACAACATTATATTTGATTCTAATTTATTTAAACGTGTCTGATGATTATGTAAATTTATCATATAAAACATGATGTTTTATGTATTTTGATGTTCACATTCTGGCATTTTTCAGACGCTGGACGGGTTTGTGTTTGTCGTGGCGTCTGACGGTAAAATCATGTACATTTCAGAAACAGCTTCAGTTCATCTGGGTCTGTCACAGGTGAGAGTTTAACACAAAACCAACCAGGGTCAGTCTGGGGCCGACATGATCTCACTGCAACACACACATCACTGAGAACATATGAACTTTCAGAAGAATGTGCTTATAATATTATCTGTGGAATGTGAAGTGAACCCATTCACAGACTGTTTGCTCATATTGTGCCTCTACTGAGAAATTCTGATCTCAAATCTGAAGAAAAACTTGAGATTAAGATTGAGATTGAGCTTGTTTAGATTTAGATGTCTAGATTTTACATTTGGGTGTGTAGAGAGAACTCACACACACACACACACACTCAAGTTATATGTTTAACTAATCAAAATACAAATTAAACAGTATTATTGTAAATTATAATTAATTTCAAATAATTTCATTTTAATAAGACAAAAAAGAATAACGACATGAGATGATAGCGGTAAACGGACTGGTAAACGGAAGGGTAAACGAACGGACGAACTAGCGGTAAACGGACAGGTAAACGGAAGGGTAAACAAACGGACGAACTAGCGGTAAACGGACAGGTAAACGGAAGGGTAAACGAACGGGTGAAGTAGCGGTAAACGGACAGGTAAACGGAAGGGTAAACGAACGGGTGAACTAGCGGTAAACAGACAGGTAAACGGAAGGGTAAACGAACGGACGAACTAGCGGTAAACGGACAGGTAAACGGAAGGGTAAACGAACGGGTGAAGTAGCGGTAAACGGACAGGTAAACGGAAGGGTAAACGAACGGGTGAACTAGCGGTAAACAGACAGGTAAACGGAAGGGTAAACGAACGGGTGAACTAGCGGTAAACAGACAGGTAAACGAAAGGGTAAACGAACGGGCGAACTAGCGGTAAACGGACAGGTAAACGGAAGGGTAAACGAACGGGCGAACTAGCGGTAAACAGACAGGTAAACGGAAGGGTAAACGAACGGGTGAACTAGCGGTAAACAGACAGGTAAACGGAAGGGTAAACGAACGGGTGAACTAGCGGTAAACAGACAGGTAAACGGAAGGGTAAACGAACGGGTGAACTAGCGGTAAACAGACAGGTAAACGAAAGGGTAAACGAACGGGCGAACTAGCGGTAAACGGACAGGTAAACGGAAGGGTAAACGAACGGGCGAACTAGCGGTAAACGGACAGGTAAACGGAAGGGTAAACGAACGGGTGAACTAGCGGTAAACAGACAGGTAAACGGAAGGGTAAACGAACGGACGAACTAGCGGTAAACGGACAGGTAAACGGAAGGGTAAACGAACGGACGAACTAGCGGTAAACGGACAGGTAAACGGAAGGGTAAACGAACGGGTGAACTAGCGGTAAACAGACAGGTAAACGGAAGGGTAAACGAACGGACGAACTAGCGGTAAACGGACAGGTAAACGGAAGGGTAAACGAACGGACGAACTAGCGGTAAACGGACAGGTAAACGGAAGGGTAAACGAACGGATGAACTAGCGGTAAACGGACAGGTAAACGAACGGGCGAACTAGCGGTAAACGGACAGGTAAACGGAAGGGTAAACGAACGGACGAACTAGCGGTAAACGGACAGGTAAACGGAAGGGTAAACGAACGGATGAACTAGCGGTAAACGGACAGGTAAACGGAAGGGTAAACGAACGGGCGAACTAGCGGTAAACGGACAGGTAAACGGAAGGGTAAACGAACGGGCGAACTAGCGGTAAACAGACAGGTAAACGGAGGGGTAAACGAACGGGCGAACTAGCGGTAAACAGACAGGTAAACGCACCGGTAAACTAGTGGTAAACGGACGGGTAAACGCACTGGTGAACTAGTGGTAAACGGACGGGTAAAAATGGATGGGTGTACTAGCAGTAAACGGACGGGTGAACTACCTGTAAACGGATGGGTGAACTAGCGGTAAACGGACGGGTGAACTAGCGGTAAATGGATGGGTGAACTAGCGGTAAACGGATGGGTGAACTAGCGGTAAATGGACGGTGAACTAGTGGTAAACGGACGGGTAAACGGATGGGTGAACTAGCAGTAAACCGATGGGTAAATAGATGGGTGAACTAACGGTAAACAGATGGGTGAACTAGCGGTAAACAGATGGGTGAACTAGCGGTAAACAGATGGGTGAACTAGTGGTAAAAGGATGGGTAAACGGATGGGTAAACGGACGGGTAAACGGAAGGGTAAATGAACGGGTGAACAAATGGGTAAACAGATGGGTGAACTGACAGGTAAACGGACAGGTAAACGAAAGGGTAAATGGACGGGTAAACGGACGGGTAAACGGATGGGTGAACTGACGGGCGAACTAGCAGTAAACAGACGGGTAAACAGAAGGGTAAACGAACGGGCGAACTAGCGGTAAACGGACAGGTAAACGCACCGGTGAACTAGCGGTAAACGGATGGGTGAACTAGCGATAAATGGACGGTGAACTAGCGGTAAACGGATAGGTAAATGGACGGGTAAACGGATGGGTGAACTAACAGTAAACCGATGGGTAAACAGAGGGGTGTACTAGCGGTAAACAGACGGGTGAACTAGCGGTAAACAGACGGGTGAACTAGCGGTTAACATACAAAGTAAACAGACGGGTAAACGGAAGGGTAAACGAAGGGTAAATGAACGGGTAAGCAGAAGGGTAAACGGATGGGTGAACTGATGGGTAAACGGACAGGTAAACGGATGGGTAAACAGATGGGTGAATGAACGGGTGAACAGACGGGTAAACGGATGGGTGAACTGACGGGTAAAGGACAGGTAAACGGACGGGTAAATGGACAGATGAACTGACGGGTAAATGTATGTCATGGCAGATCAAAGGAGACATTATTTTTGATCTAGCAGCTCCTGATTTCCCACGACTTTTCAAAAGAGGAAAAGTGACAGTCTCTCTCCTTCAGCAGAAAACTACCCGTTTACTGACAACACAATCGCACATCAAAACAATAACACTATTAATCAATTAAAATAAGGAAACTAATTAGAAATTAAAAATGCACTTAAAGTCTGGAGGTGTGGAAAACATTTTAATTTAGTTGAGGACTAAAAGAAAAATTTTGGCAAGATGTTGGCAATAACCATGCTGTAATAAAGCCAGAAGGATTGTGTGAATATCCAGAATCCTGAAGCCGTCACGGGTGAGTTAAAGGGACAACGCTGTTTCACTGCCTAGTCAAAGCAGCAGCGGCCGCAGAGACGAGGCAAACGAAGCTGTTAATGTGGGAACACCTGTGTGTGAGACAGAGCATTCAAATGTGTGTGTGTGTGAGAGAGAGAGAGACTGTGACTCCACCGCAGAACACTGAAGCTCATGTGGATCATCATGTTCAGACTCTGACGGGGCGTTATTGTGTGTCAGTGTGAGGCAGGCCTGATCCCGAACACACACACACACACACAGTGTGTTTAGTAAAGTGCACATTCCTCCGTGCGTCGCCGCACTACAAAGAGCAGATTAGCGTCTCTGCGCAGCTGCAGAGAAAGTAATTTGTCGCTGAAGTGCTGAGAAGTGACCTTCCCTGTGTCTGATGTGCCCTGCTAATTTACACACTGAAACAGATCAAAGTCCAGGATTGAATCCGCTTTTGTTTTCATATGCAAATCATGTTTTTATACATGAACTTTCTGCAACGGGAATCAGATTGTGTCTTTGAGATGCACACAGATCAATTTCAGACAAACAGGAGCTTAGCTTCAGCCTGACACACACACACACACACACACACTTCACAATAGGCATGTTTGTGGGTTGATGTAATCTTCTTAAATGACACACACTCTCAGTCTTAATGTCAGTGGGGTTTTTCCAGTATACTGACTGGTTTCTCTTCAGAAGATGGAATGATGATGTATGATCTGTTGTAGGTGGAACTGACTGGGAACAGCATCTTTGAGTACATCCACCCGTCAGACCATGATGAGATGAGCGCGGTGCTGAGTGCTCACCCACCATTACATCCACACTTCCTGCAGGGTACACACACACACACACACACACACACACACACACACACACGGAATGCAGTGCTTGATATTTCTCACAAGGCTCATCTGGTGTGTGTTCCAGAGTTTGAGCTGGAGCGCTCGTTCTTCCTGCGGATGAAGTGTGTGTTGGCGAAGAGGAACGCGGGACTCACGTGTGGCGGGTATAAGGTGAGTTCGTCTCGACATCACGAAACACCCGCACATGTTTCCATTTGGGCCGGTAAAATGATATTCTGTGTAATTTTCTTCTCAAGCCCGTGTTTTGCATTGCAAATGTCATTATGAAAGCAAAGCAAAAGCGTTTGTCAAGAGCTCGTTCACATCGAGCATTTAACATCCGTCTGGTCGTTTAGCAGCGTCTGATCGAGACTCCGCCGCATGAGCTGATGGACTGATGAACTGATCTGATTAAATGTAGCAAAGACTCGTGTGTGTTTCATACATCATGAACGTATGACAGCTTGCGGCCGACACACACACACTCTTCTCCCTGCACCGGCTCAACTATAAGCTTTCATAAATCAAGCTGTGGAGATTTGTTTAAAATTTACATTGGCAATAAACAAGTGGTTTATGTCAAGTGAAGAATAAATCACGCACTGGATTCAGAGGCGCAGGATATAGACGTGTGTGGGTGTGTAAGAGTTTATGTGGTCACTCTCTTCAGTCTCTCACACACACACACACACACATGAACTCTCTCACACACACACACACACAACTACGGCCTGTATCCAGCAGACATCGGTAAACCTCGGGTAAAACAGAGAGATTAATATTAGTGTAGATGCCATTCTTCTAATGATTGGAAGTGTTCCCAGTTCCGGCTGACCTAATCTATGCAGCCTAACATTGAATTATACACTCCCCTAAAGGATTATTAGAAACACCTGTTCAATTTCTCATTAATGCAATTATCTAATCATCCAATCACATGGCAGTGTCTTCAGTGCATTTAGCGGTGTGGTCCTGCTCAAGACAATCTCCTGAACTCCAAACTGAATGTCAGAATGGGAAAGAAAGGGGATTTGAGCAGTTTTGAGCGTGGCATGGTTGTTGGTGTCTGAGTATTTCACAATCTGCTCAGTTACTGGGATTTTCACACACAACCATTTCTAGGGTTTACAAAGAATGGAGTGAAAAGGGAAAAACATCCAGTATGGGTCAGTCCTGTGGGTGGAAATGCCTTGTTGATGCGAGAGGTCAGAGGTCGACTGATTCAAGCTGATAGAAGAGCAACTTTGACTGAAATAACCACTCGTTACAACCGAGGTATGCAGCAAAGCATTTGTGAAGAAGACACAACACACACAACCTTGAGGCGGATGGGCTACGACAGCAGAAGACCCCACCGGGCACCACTCATCTCCACTACAGATAGGAGAAAGAGCAGTAGCACCTCAATGCAGTACATGAGATCCACGGGGAGGAGTCGGATCAAGATCCAAGGGGTGGAGATGGGTAGGATTAGGGTTGGGTTTAGGGGCGAAGTTGGGTAGGTTTATGTGTATCCCTGTATGCGATCGAGCTCTCCTTCCATGAAATCCAGAATACCCCTAGTTTAGTTTTCTTGTAGCTACGCTCCATGTTTCTGGCTGCTCTCTTAAGGGCCCGAGTGTGTGTGTGTGTGTGCTCATTGTACCACGGCATTGGACTATTTTCTTTAATCTTCTTTAAGCGCAATTGAGCAACTGCGTCTAAAGTGCTGGAAAAGAGAGAGTTACAAGTTTCTGTCACGATATTAAGTTCTTCTAAGCTATCTGGGATGAAACTGATTAGGAAGATTATTGATAAAGCAATATTTAGAGGCAGAAGTTATAGGTTTAACATATTTATAACACGGAGTCGGCTTTGCTGCTTTGGCTAAATTAAGTTTACATGAGACTAGATAGTGATCTGAGATGTTGTCGCTCTGCTGCAGTATTTCAACGGCATCAACATCTATCCCATGTGATAATATTAGATCTAGAGTATGAATATGACAACGAGTGGGTCCTGACACGTGTTGTCTAACTCCAATTGAGTTTATAATGTCTTTAAATGCCAGTATATGGTCAGTGGAGCAGTGGCACGTGTAAATAAGGTCCAATAGGTTACCTGATTTGTGAGTAGCCGTGGTAGAAACTCGTTTGAGGTTGAATGAGGCAAGAAGAGTGTAGAAATCAGCAGCCTGAGGCTTTTCTAGGTGGAATACCATCCTCACGGAAGAATGAGAGTAACACATCCAACTCCTCCGAGAAACTCCCAAGCTGATCTGGGGGACGATAAACAACTACAAAATTAATTTTAATAGGACTGGTGATAGTAATTGAATGCCATTCAATTGAGCTATTGTCACAGAGGTGGTAAAATTTCCAATCATTGGAGATGAGCAGACTAGTACCTCCTCCACCCCTTTGGGTCCGGCGAGGGGTGTGTGAGAAAGTGAAGCGATCGGAGAGGGCAGGAGGTGTGGCAGTGTCCTCTGGTCCGACCCAGGTCTCAGTCAGGGCCAATAGGCTGGAAATAGATGTAATGAAATCACCTGTTTACAGCGGACTGACGATTACAGAGATCGATAGGAAAAGAGATTAAAGAAATAGAAGACACTGGAAAGGTGTGCAGGTGGTTAGGATTGCACAGCCTCCTAAGTGTGATATTTGATTTTTGTGTGTTAGTAATAGCACATTTGGAAGCACATAGTGAAGAGAGGTCACAAACAGAAAGAAGAGAACAAGCTGTGTAGAAAAGGGAAGCAAATAACAAGTAAAACTCAAGTGCCTTGTCAGTGTCCTTGCTCGGTGGAGTCTTCGCACGTCCGCTGCTGTGGTTTACTACCTGATTATACACCCGCCTGAAATGTCGTGATTGAATACAGCTGGACACACCTCACTATCAAAACCCGAACAGACAAGACTTCACCTCATGATTCACGCACATGGGCAGAGTAAACAGTCAAGTCAAAATATACAAAAACACACACACACACACACTGAACCCTTCTGATGCTCACAGGTGATTCACTGCAGCGGGTACCTGAAGCTCCGTCAGGTCGTGATGGATGTGTCTCTGTACGAGTCCTGCTATCAGATCGTGGGTCTGGTGGCCGTCGGTCAGTCTCTTCCTCCCAGCGGCGTGACGGAGCTCAAACTCCACAGCAACATGTTCATGTTCCGCGCGAGTCTCGATCTCAAACTCATCTTCCTGGACAGCAGGTGAGGGCGCACACACACACACACACGCACATGCACACGCACACACACACACACACACACTGTAGCGCTCAACTTTCACTTCCACAGCTAATATGGTGCATTCAAGTCATATCGGAAAGATCGTATTTACCAGTCGAAAAAGGAGTGAAGATATTAAGTGAGTTTGTGCTTAAAAATGTCTGCCAATGGTGTCAGAAAGATAACCTTATTTCCCCTTTAAACTAAGATTATTTTTATGGCAGATATTTGTACTTGTTTTAAGCACGTCATTTGATTTTGATCAGTTTTTCAGTAAACAATATTTAATATCTTCAGTGATTTTGATTTTGTGCTGTAAAATGAGACAAAAACAATGAGGATTGAGGAACAGTGTTGTATCAATGCAACAGATTCTGTATCGATGGTCAATTTGTTAAAATGAATAAAAGTATTTTTTTCTATTTACAATAAAACTAGCTAAATCTTGCTCCTATCAAAGTGACTTCCCATTGAATTTGGACCTTTCCCACTAGTAAATACAAACTTCCCAGGAGGACTTGAATGCACCAATCTTACTTACAGTCTGGAACCAACCGGAAGAAACCGTGATTTAACCATTTAAAGCTGTTGGTAGAAGCAGAAGGAGTCTCTTTCATCTGAACGTGTGTGTGTGTGTGTGTGTGTGTGTCAGGGTGTCGGAGTTAACCGGGTATGAGCCGCAGGATCTGATTGAGAAGACTCTCTACCATCACGTCCACGGCTGCGACGTCTTCCAGCTGCGATACGCACATCATCTACGTGAGTCGCACACACACACACACACACACTGTAGATCATCTACAGCCGCAGCATGAATGTGTTCGTTCTACTGACATGTCTGTGCAGCGTTTGCATGGAAACCCGAGTGAAGCTGTGTGTGTGTGTGTGTGTCTCAGTGCTGGTCAAGGGGCAGGTCACCACCAAGTACTACCGCCTGCTGTCGAAACACGGCGGCTGGGTCTGGATGCAGAGCTGCGCCACCATCGTCCACAACAGCCGCTCGTCTCGACCGCACTGCATCGTCAGCGTCAACTACGTCCTCACGTGAGTGACCTTTGACCTCCCTCACAGCAGTGTTGAACCAGAACCCCTCGCTCTGATTCCGTGCCTCTCTCTCTCCGCAGGGATGTGGAATACAAAGAGATGCAGCTCTCGCAGGACCAGAGCCGACCCAGACCGCCGGTGTCCTATAAGAACTGTCTCGCAGCTCCTCAGGACTCACGCAAACAGCTGAAAGCCAAAGCAGCCAAACTCAAAAGCAAAGCCAAAGCATGTCCCTATCCGCAGGCGAAGGTGCTGACCGACTCAGCTGGGAACGTGGCGTCGAGTGTGTGTGGTTTCCAGACCTCGCTGGAGTCTCCGTGCTGGAAGAGCTGCCAGCAGAGCCCCGTCTCACTGATCCAGGAGCCGCCCCACATGCTGCCACTGTCCTACGCATACACACACACACACACACAGACGCAGGCCTCCGGCGACTGCCGGAAAGCCCCGGTGACCTCGATCTCCTCCAGACGACCCGTCCTCTCCTCACTGCAGTCGCCCTGGAGCTGCGCTAACAAAGCTGCGGCGCACCTGCAAACTCCGGCGTGCAGCGCATTCTCAGGTACCCACACACACACACACCCACACACACACACACACACACACTCACACTGTAGATTCTCTACTCGTTTAGAAGTTATAGCGCCCCCTACAGTATCAATAAGAAAATTCTATCAATGGCGTGGAAAGAGTTAAGTGACTATTAAACCCCAAATCCAAGCTAAAAACCAAAGGATCTGCTAAACTAGCACACAGTATAATATCTAAACATGAGATCAGTTACATCAGTTAATTAATGGGGACATATCACGGAAATCAGACAAAGTGTAATCGGGTCCCGCCGGTGCTTTGTTCCAGTGAAACCCAGTAACTGTGTTCTGGTGAGCCTTTCTCTGCAAGCATGTTATAAAATAAGCCCATCAGATTAGCTGCTCTCCTGCCGTATGAACAAGATCTTATTAGAATATTCCCGGCCCTCAATCTGCACGTTTACACACACCAGCGACATCGGGTTCGGCGAGCGAGACCAGTTCTAACCAGGGCCGGATTAGGAGTTCAGGGGCCCCGGGGCACGATGTCCTGTAGGCCCCCTCTCAGGCAGGACATTTTAATATGGCATTTACAGTTTTACTGACTAAAAAGGAACTTTGTTGGACTATGCTGGAGTAAAGTTCATAAATGGTCGTTCTTTCCGTAGGACTTAGTAAAACTGGGGGGACTCTGTGCCTCTAGGGGGGTTCGGGGGCATGCTCCCCGCAAGAGAATTGTGTATATTTTAAGGTTAAATGCATCAATCTCGTGCTCTCTGAGAGATCAAAATGAAGAGCTTCAACCCATGAACTGCTCGTTGAACAAAGATAAAGCATTGATTTGTACCAGGACAATAAACAGGGCTCAAACATCTTTTAAATTATGAGTCTCAGTCTACATTACATTATCAATGGTGTTTTAGGATGCCAAACAATTATTATAATAATATAACAATGATTTATAGAATTATTCCTATGACGTAAAATCCATATAGCCTATAAATGTACTATATAAATGAAAATTAATGAAGTATATTTTAGTCTACATTACACTATAATATAGGAAAATTAAAATACGTTTGTCCTAATTTCTTCACTTGCAAAAAATAAATCCCTGAGCTTGTATTTAGGAGGAAACCCCAGATGGCCATGCTGATCGCGCAAATGCACACGTTTCTTTAATTCACCCAGCACTACCGGGATGCTATTCTTAAAGTCTTGTGCTGTTTTATAAAGGCACAAAGCCATATCATGGTTTCAATTTTAGTTTGTTGGCAAAATATAACGCTAGAGACCTTAATGTTAGGTTATACATTTTACATCTCATGAGACTTCGGCAAAAGGCGGATTCGAACTCAGGTCGAGTGCATCAAAAGCTGCTTTCAAGCACTTCACACCCTACGACCTACGGCACTGTAGCTATTGCGTAACGGCGTCTTTTTGCTATAAAGACAGGCACTTAGTGCAAATATACGCTCCGATAGTGATGCGCGGGTCGACTCGTAACCCCGCGGGACCCGTGGGTCGGGTTGGGGCGGGTAAAAAATTGTCACTTTATTTGCGGGGCAGGTCAATAATGTTTTTGAAAAAATCCATGTATGTTGCTTGCAATTTCCAGCCTATAACCTAACCTTTGGTGTCATGTCAAATAATTTCATAAAAGCGGGACCCAGTTGGAAAAAAAGCCGACCCTCGCATCACTATGCTCCGATATCTAAAATATTTTTTTCTTCCCCTCGCTTGGGCCCTGTGTGCATGGTGAACTTGCAATGAATTCATTTCATCAGACCAGCCCTCGCGGCCTCGAAACACTAACGTCCCACCGGGGAAACTCCTGATTGCCGCTCCGCTACTGGCGCCCAGGGCCCCTTAGATGTCGTGGGCCCCTAATGGTTAATCCGTCCCTGGTTCTAACGTTCTAGACGACACTGAACACTATTGAGCAGAACACGTCACTGCTGTCTTATAAACACTGTGAACTGTGGACACTTGTGGAAGAGTTCAACATGATGATGAGATGATCAGTCGAACTCCACAACAACTACACAAACGTCTCCGCTAACATTCAGAAACGTGTAAAAGTGAAGCTCTCCCTGAGTCTCTCCGTAAGGCGGAGCTAAAGCTGCTGTTACTCCTGATCCTGGATCAGTCAGATCCGCCTGTGCTGTTATTGCCAGAGTCTCTGAAGCTCATGTGAAGGCTCCGCCCTCTTCTGAATGGAGGCGGGGCTAAAGCTCATTGGCATTTAAAGGGACACAAACAAAAACGTTGCTTTTCTGCTCACACCCAAAAAGAGGCAATTTTGATGAGCTATAATAAACGATCTGGTATGAAATTTCACACACATATTCTATGTGATGCCATAGATTTATAATACATCTAGTGAAAAGCAGCCTTAAATAAAATGTCACCTTTAATAACGAATTTCATGGTGAATCGAATTGTTCTAGTCACAGAAAGCGACCCGCACATCTAACCAGCTCTGTGTTCTCCAGGTCCGGCGGCCGACGGCGCGTTCGCAGCTCAGCTTCTGCCCGGAGGCTTCAGACCCGCCGCTGCGTTTAAAGAGGAACCCGGACAGAACCAGAACCAGGGCTTCGGTCAGCGCAGGCCATACGAGGACAGGCTCTCGGATCATGACCCGGAGGAGAAGAGGCTGCTGGGAACGACACAGAGTCCGTACGTCTCCCTGAACCTTCACCACGTTCTGTCCAAACGCGGCCCTTTCCCAGCCGGACCTTGCGCTCTGAGTGAGGGGGGGAACCCGTACCTGTACCAGACCCAGAGCGCTCCCGACGGACCCCGCCAGTACCTGTACCGGACCCACAGCCCCGGTCCCGAAGGACCCCGCGCACCTCACTGCATCGGCACGTCGGTCATCATCAGCAACGAAAGGTGACGCGCACTGACCTCCGACCTCTTCGACCGTCTTATGCAAAGCTGCAGATGTTCTGATCACACATAAAGAACGTCAGGTATGGAATATATTTCTCCCGTTGTGCAGCCAGTTCACCGGGACACTACCGCATCCTCTCCGGGACACCGAGGAAGAGGAAGCTGAAGGACGCTTCGTGACTCAGGGTCTCCAGATGAACCTCACTAAACTCACACATATGCAAGTCACACAATGATCCACATATTGTATTTGAAACACTCTTTTGTGCCATTCTTTACCAAATGAAAACATCTGATCTATTTTAACTATTTAAATAATAATAATAATTCATTACATTTATATAGCGCTTTTCTCGGCACTCAAAGCGCTTTACATAGAGAGGGGGATCTCCTCAATCACCACCAGTGTGCAGCTCCACCTGGATGATGATGCGACGGCAGCCATACTGCGCCAGAACGCTCACCACACACCAGCTTACTGGTGGAGAGGAGACAGTGATGAAGCCAATTGGTATATATGGGGATGATTAGGAGGCCATGATGGACAGAGGCCACTGGGCAAATTTGGCCAGGATGCCGGGGTTACACCCCTACTCTTTCCAAAGACATCCTGGGATATTTAATGACCATAGAGAGTCAGGAGTCAGGACCTCGGTTTAACGTCTCATCCGAAGGACGGTGCTCTTTGACAGTATAGTGTCCCCATTACTATACTGGGGCATTAGGACCCACACAGACCACAGGGTGAGCGCCCCCTGCTGGCCTCACGAACACCTCTTCCAGCAGCAACCTGGCTTTCTCAGAAGGTCTCCCATCCAGGTACTAACCAGCCTCAGCCCTGCTTAGCTTCAGTGGGCAACCAGTCTTGGGCTACAGGGTGATAGAGCTGCTGGCAAAAGCAAATGTTTCAGCAGGATTTCTGTAACTACGGACTAATCTCAGAACTGAAGTGTGGATTACAGCCTCCTCATCTGTCATTGGTCAGTTGGACTGATAGTCCCACCCCAGACTCACGTGATTGGACGGATCAATGTCGCAGAGTTTCACTCTTCAGGACTTTAAAGGGTAACTAAACCCCTGGTCAGAGTCTGACTCCACCCACTAGCAATATTTGAAAAATGCTGAAAAATGGGCAGACCCCAGCGGGGCCAGGGGGCGTGCACCTGAGACCCGCCGTGAGTGACAGCTGCTGTCAGACTCTAAAATAGAGCGAGACTGGAGTGACTCAAGTAGCTGCCTTTGCAACAGAGCGGCCATTTGAAGTCGAGGACTTTTCTCCCTCACCTTCACCTGAAGTGGATGAGGGTGAATTGTATGTAGACACAGGGCCAAATCCATTCGAGCTGCTGGCTCAAACTGCGGTCTTAACCGGCATCTGATGAGTTATGTCGTCGAGTTGATCTCAATAGCGCACGCTGGCATATATTCATATTGATATTATGCCGCTATATGAAAAAATCCAGCAAAATGCACCGGCTCGTTTGTCGGCCCAGAGGATTAACTAACTAGATGCTATTATATGCTATCCTGATCGTTTTCAATACTCATAAATCCAACTCCTGACTCGCTACAGTAGTTTTGACGGAACCAGATGCTTTTATACCAGGGGCTGCCAAGGGCGTGGTGAGCTCGCACCAAGGGTGTGACAGAGTCGCGTCTGAGAGTTCGCTACGTCAGCAAGTACCCCTACTGCAGGAGCTTTCCGTTTAACCTGAAGAGGGCAGCACTCAGACGTTTTTACACCATATATTTGAAAATCAAAACACTTTATACTCAATTGTCAAAAAATGTACTCGAATCAATGAACAGCATTTATGAAGCTCCATTCTTACAGATCATTAACTAAAAAAAAGTTGTTTTGGTGTTTAGTTACCCTTTAAACTACCAATGACTCTGAAGATTAAACTAACACAATGGCCCGGTTTCACAGACGAGGTTTAGATTAAGCCAGGATTAGGGCATTTAAGCAGCTTTAATAAACATGCTTTAGAATCAAACATTACTGATGTCATCTCAAGACAACACTGGCACACATTTCAAGAGATGCTTTCAGTTAGAACAGCTCAAACCTGCATTTTAGTCTGGATTAGTTTAAGCCTGGTCTGTGAAACCAGGGGAATACAGGTATGTCATAATTCATCTTTAAATGAGGACATTTTAAACATTGCCTTTCATACTGAGCTGGTGTGATATGATTTCTATGGACATCTGAAGAAAGACAATAATTTCTTGGGTCTGGTTTTCTGAGTGCTGATATTTAGCTGCTCTCTTCAAGCGATGGCATGTTTACCGCATCATGGCTCGATTATTTATGGTCTGACTTATGCAGTTTCTAAAATGACTGGAACTAGTTTGCTTAGAAACGCAATAAACATGACACGCGCGAGCGTCTCCTAGCAACAGAACCTCCATCAAAAGCAATGATTCTCGAAAGCTTCGTTATTAATTTTATTATTGTTGGTGCAGGAACTTCCATCTGAGAAAAGCCCCGGCGTTAGATGAAGCCTGAGTCGGCGGGCGAGGGCTAATACGGCTCTGTTTGCCGAGGAAGACTGTGAGGAAGAGCAGTCTCTGGAGATGAGAGATCGGCACTGACCTCCAGACCCTGCAGCTCAGATCGTTTAACAGGATATTGTGGATCTCAGAGCTGTTTGCTTAATGAGTTCGAGACGCACTCGAGGCCGGCCCACCGGAAGATCCGCATCCCTGACCGAACACGGGTCGCGGCGAGTGCGCGGAAGCGGCGGCAGACGCGAGTGTCAGTGATGAGGTGGAGATCTGAGTCTAGAGATCGAGGGAGACTCGCACCTCATCAAGAAACTGAAGCACGAGGTGTAGATGACGGATGAGCTGTGGATGGAGAGGGAGGAACGGGACACTGCCAGCACACACACACGCACACACACTCTCACACACACACACACACACACACTCACTGTCTCTCACATACTCTATCTCTATCCCACACACACACGCTCGCTCTCTCTCTCTCCCACACACACAGTCTCTCTCCCACACACACACTTACTGTCTCTCACATACTCTCTCTATCTCTATCCCACACACACACTCTCTCTCTCTCTCTCTCTCTCACACACACACACACACACACACACACACACACACACACACACACACACGATCGCTCTCTCTCTCTCTCACACAAAGCACTTCACTGATGGAACACACTCACATTCTCTCTCCGACACACACACACACTCACTCTCTCTTTCTCACACACACACACACACACACACACAGCAATTCACTGATGTAACACACACACGACATGTCAGTAACAATCATTTTATTTCATTTTGTATGATTCAGGAATGTGTTCTTTAAAAGCGATCATCCATATATCAGTTTACAAACCATGAATCATGACAAAATATTGAGTGATAGACAGATTTAACACAACCTGATTTATGAACAAACAAATCACCTTGAAATCTAAAGAGAAATAACAATGAAAAGTTTTAACAAGTGTCAGTCAGAGAGAGCGAGTGTTTGTTAGACTGTAAGCTCAGTGCTCGGAGCAATAGCCTCTCACACACACACACACACACACACACACACACACACACACTCCTCAGATCCTCGGCAGCAGGAAGTCTTCACGGGAGGAATCACAGAAACCTCGTCGTTTTTCTGCTTTACCAATTCGAATCAATGAGTGTGATGCGATGTGTGTGTCTGTAATCTGTCACTTTAAACTCTGAATGAGACTTGAGGGCAATATTGCTCATATTTAAGTCCATCTGCAGGAGGACATGAGTGTAAAGGTCAATGGCTGTTGACAGAATAAATGTTATTCTGAAGAAATGTCAGTGTCAAAGATTCACATTTGTTCTGGTTGAGTCCCGTCATCATCTCTCGGTCTGGAGGCAGACGTTCCAGCTGCGAGTCGTCCTCTGCTCTTCATCTACTCTTGATCACCACGAGGTTCTTCATCATGTCGAAGGAGTTTCCGTCCGGCTGCAGCGTCACGATCTGATCTCCTGTCGACACCTGCAGAAAACCGCTCTCATCCAGACCCAGAACCTCGGCCTCCGGCCCGTCCTCACTCCACAGACGCACACGCGTGCCCCTGAAACACGCACACACACACACACACGTCAGGCCGCGCACACACACACACACACACACAAGTCAGGCCCCTAAAACACACACACACTCACCCGTGCACCCAGCGGCTGTAGTAGAGCGGCAGCAGTGTGTCCGACCCGCGCAGCTGGAAGTCCGAGACGAAGCGCTCCAGCAGTGTGACGGCGCGGGCGATGAGCTGCTCCGGCTCCAGCGGCTCCAGACTGCGGTTCTGCTCCCGGTTCTGCAGACGCACCAGGTCGTTGATGCAGACCGTCGGGTTGCTGTTGGTCACGTTGAAGCCGCAGCCTGAGGGAAACAGGAGAGACGTCACGCGCGACACTGACGGAGAACCGTAACCAAGAGAGACGTACCAATCAGAAGCCGGAAGCTCTGACCCGTCAGGCTGGAGTTCACCAGAACCCCGCCCAGCTTCATCAGGTTACTGTAGTAGATGTCATTGGGCCACTTCAACCGCAGGTCCACGTTCTGCACGCGCACACAAACACACACAGAGACATTCACATGAGGAACATCACAGGCACAGCAATATTGAGAAAAATGCTAACTTCCGGCTTGAGGGCGGATGTTGGGTACTTCGGTTCCGGTTGCCGTTGTTTACATCAGTGGACCGGCTATCTAAAGCTTAGCTATCTAAATATATTTGTCTAAAACTATGTTCGTTTGTTATTGTCAAGTCAACCAACACAGTTTTCACTCATATTTGGGTGGAGCCAGGCGCTGCTGCATTGTGAAAAGTAAACGATATTTAAATCTGCTTTTTGTCACCGCACCCAAGCAGTCGCTTTACCGAGTGGAGCGTTGCGTATCCATGACAACTAGAAGGAAGTTTTTAGGCTACTAATTATTTATTATATTATACCCTTTAACCCGGAGAAGCCCCTGGGGTTAGAACAGCATCTTCTCGACATGATGCGATGATGAAGTATTTGAATGTGTTCTAGACGTCACTTCAAGTTTACAGTTCCGTCTGTGTGCGCAGTTGTTGGGAGCGGCCAATGACCTCTCTACGTCATGATGTAACAGCTAATCGTTTCAAAAACAATTAATTTCATAGACTCAGAGTCGACTCTCACTTTTGAAAGACAATAACTTCATATACGGTGCACTTTCAGATAGAAATCTTTGCAGGATGTTTTCATTCCCTTAGAGCTGTAGTTGCTCCACCTTTTGCTACTATAGCAAGTTCAACTCTTCTGGGAAGGGTTTCCACAAGGTTTAGGAGTGTGTTTATGGGAATTACTCTTTTAGAAGCGCATAAGTGAGGTCCAGCACTGATGTTGGACGAGAAGCTCTCAGTCTCCACTGTTACTCATCCCAAAGCTGTTCTAACCCCCCTCCACCAAACAACCCCACACCATAACCCCCCCTCCACCAAACAACCCCACACCATAACCCCCCTCCACCAAACAACCCCACACCATAACCCCCCTCCACCAAACAACCCCACACCATAACCCCCCCTCCACCAAACAACCCCACACCATAACCCCCCCTCCACCTGTGCATCCCTGTAACGTCAGTCCCCCTCATCAGAGCAGTGTTTTCAGCGGCTGGACTGAAGCATTTGTTTACACTCGGCGCGTCCGCACGAGCATGAAGAAGGTGCACGCGGGAAAAATGAGTATAAACACCTCGTCCGTTTGGGGAGGTGCGTACACAGTCTGCAGAGACTCGCGCTGATCGAGCCAGGTGAAAGTGTAAACAAGGCTTGAGGGTCACCATGCAGGTTGCGGTCGCGACTGACCCCAGATCATGTCATCAACATGCTTATCTTTCTCAACAAAAATCAGAAGACTGGAGCAGAAGTTGTATGTGAGTTATTTTTTATGAAGCTTTAAGTAGCATAGCCTAATTGATTGTTAGGTAGGCTAATCTCTCTCACCCTTTCTCCGTGCCTTGGATAGTTGAGTTTACGTTACATTTGGACAAAACCTGTCAGATATAAATATTATTGTTTTTGGTTAAGTTATTTATTTATTATTTTGGAACAAACGAGGGTCTCACGAGGGCCAACTCGCAGCTGCAGGTTCAGTTGCGTTAGAGAACCGCCGCGCATATCTTCAAATTTAGCCTAACCGAACGCCCAGTTTAACTGCTAAGTTAAATCATTTTGTAATAAAGATCTAATCGAGGAAAAACACGCTGTATTTTTGTATTTTCATTGCATTTTTAATTTATAAAAAGTTAAATAATACATTTGAATATAAAAATATTAATGATTAATCTGTAGTCGATCGTTAATTCTTCCGACGATCGACTAGGAAAATTTAATCAAATGCCTATCCCTAGTGTGCACCTCGTTTCCAGGCAGTGTGTGTGTGTGTGTGTGCACACCTCGTATCCGGGCAGTGTTCTCACAGACTCCACCACAGCGAGGGCCACGAGGTGCTGCAGGAACGGGAGTCTCTGTCCGAGTCGAGAGTTCAGAGGAATCTGCAGGTGGAGAGAGAACATGGCGCAGCCCAGAGGACTCAACCACGCGTTCCCTCCACGGCCTGGACACACACACCATTAATGACTGACACACTCGTTCAGATGTTAAACCAGAGTTAACTGCTGTCTGAGAGCTGATGGAAGCTGCTGACCTTTGCCCTGAGTCTGACGCGCTGCTATGGCGATTAACCCTTCCTGTGGCAACTGCGACACCAGTCTGCAGGAGGAATAGAAAACACACACACACACACACAGATCACATTTACTGGAAACATTCAGCCGTTTCACTGGAGAACTCCATGCTTGCTGCACTGTAACTGACCTTTGACCCCTGTTCTATCCCTGCAGCCTATCAAACACCCCCACTAAAGACAACAGCTATACACTTAACCTGCACTGAAACTCCCAGACTAATTGCTAAACAGATGATTATTCTCACAGAAGTTCAATAGTCATCCACTCTCAAATGTCAATCAAATCTCTGTCTCAGGAGTGTGTGTGTGTGTGTGTGTGTGTGTGTGCATACGCGTTTGCAGCATCTCGCCGTTCATCACATCTCTTCTGAGGGTTTCAGCAGCCTGATGAGTGTAAAGTGTTTCTCCAGCGTTACAGGCTTGGGAATCTGGGATCCGTGTGTCATTTAGAGCGAACACATTTACAGAAGAGCTTAAGCTGGCGCTGAAAGCCAATACACACACACACACACACACACACACACACACACACACAGAGCAGCATTCAGATGCAAAGAGAATCCACTCTGTAATCCAGCTATTCAGCGCAGCACTGCATCATGGGATGCTGCTATCAGAGCCGCAGAGGAACAGTGTTTCAGTGTCCATCACTCCTGTGCTGCAACCACATGCTAATCACACATCAGGAGTGAGTTTTCTCAGAGAGCTTTAATTGAACGAGACGTTCTTGCAAAAAGCGAGGAAAAACAGCAGAAACAGAAACCCGGCGGTCTGAGGCTACACACACCAGCAAAACTACTGAACACACACACACACGCAGAACTACTGAACACACACCGGCAGAACTACTGAACACACACCAGCAGAACTACTGAACACACACCAGCAGAACTACTGAACACACACACCAGCAAAACTACTGAACACACACCAGCAAAACTACTGAACACACACCGGCAGAACTACTGAACACACACCAGCAGAACTACTGAACACACACCAGCAAAACTACTGAACACACACCAGCAAAACTACTGAACACACACCAGCAGAACTACTGAACACACACCAGCAAAACTACTGAACACACACCAGCAAAACTACTGAACACACACCAGCAGAACTACTGAACACACAGCAGCAGAACTACTGAACACACACCAGCAAAACTACTGAACACACAGCAGCAGAACTACTGAACACACAGCAGCAGAACTACTGAACACACACCAGCAGAACTACTGAACACACACCAGCAGAAGTACTGAACACACACCAGCAAAACTACTGAACACACACCAGCAGAACTACTGAACACACAGCAGCAGAACTACTGAACACACACCAGCAGAACTACTGAACACACACCAGCAGAACTACTGAACACACAGCAGCAGAAGTACTGAACACACACCGGCAGAACTACTGAACACACAGCAGCAGAACTACTGAACACACACCAGCAGAACTACTGAACACACACCAGCAGAAGTACTGAACACACACCAGCAAAACTACTGAACACACACCAGCAGAACTACTGAACACACACCAGCAGAACTACTGAACACACACCAGCAGAACTACTGAACACACACCAGCAGAACTACTGAACACACAGCAGCAGAACTACTGAACACACACCAGCAGAACTACTGAACACACACCAGCAGAAGTACTGAACACACACCAGCAAAACTACTGAACACACACCAGCAGAACTACTGAACACACACCAGCAGAACTACTGAACACACACCGGCAGAACTACTGAACACACACCAGCAAAACTACTGAACACACACCAGCAGAACTACTGAACACACACCAGCAGAACTACTGAACACACACCAGCAGAACTACTGAACACACACCAGCAGAACTACTGAACACACACCAGCAGAACTACTGAACACACACAGCAGCAAAACTACTGAACACACACCAGCAAAACTACTGAACACACACCAGCAAAACTACTGAACACACACCAGCAGAACTACTGAACACACACCAGCAGAACTACTGAACACACACCAGCAGAACTACTGAACACACACAGCAGCAAAACTACTGAACACACACCAGCAAAACTACTGAACACACACCAGCAAAACTACTGAACACACACCGGCAGAACTACTGAACACACACCAGCAGAACTACTGAACACACACCGGCAGAACTACTGAACACACACCAGCAGAACTACTGAACACACACCGGCAGAACTACTGAACACACACCCGCAGAACTACTGAACACACACCGGCAAAACTACTGAACACACACCGGCAGAACTACTGAACACACACAGCAGCAAAACTACTGAACACACACCAGCAGAACTACTGAACACACACAGCAGCAAAACTACTGAACACACACCAGCAGAACTACTGAACACACACCAGCAAAACTACTGAACACACACCGCAGAACTACTGAACACACACCGGCAGAACTACTGAACACACACAGCAGCAAAACTACTGAACACACACCAGCAGAACTACTGAACACACACCAGCAAAACTACTGAACACACACCAGCAGAACTACTGAACACACACCAGCAGAACTACTGAACACACACCAGCAGAACTACTGAACACACAGCAGCAGAACTACTGAACACACACCGGCAGAACTACTGAACACACACCGGCAGAACTACTGAACACACACCGGCAGAACTACTGAACACACACCGGCAGAACTACTGAACACACACCAGCAGAACTACTGAACACACACAGCAGCAAAACTACTGAACACACACCAGCAAAACTACTGAACACACACCGGCAGAACTACTGAACACACACAGCAGCAAAACTACTGAACACACACCAGCAAAACTACTGAACACACACCGGCAGAACTACTGAACACACACCGGCAGAACTACTGAACACACACCGGCAGAACTACTGAACACACAGCAGCAGAACTACTGAACACACACCAGCAGAACTACTGAACACACACCAGCAAAACTACTGAACACACACCAGCAGAACTACTGAACACACACCGGCAGAACTACTGAACACACACCGGCAGAACTACTGAACACACACCAGCAAAACTACTGAACACACACCAGCAAAACTACTGAACACACACAGCAGCAGAACTACTGAACACACACCGGCAGAACTACTGAACACACACAGCAGCAAAACTACTGAACACACACCAGCAAAACTACTGAACACACACCAGCAGAACTACTGAACACACACCGGCAGAACTACTGAACACACACCGGCAGAACTACTGAACACACAGCAGCAGAACTACTGAACACACACCAGCAGAACTACTGAACACACACCAGCAAAACTACTGAACACACACCAGCAGAACTACTGAACACACACCGCAGAACTACTGAACACACACCGGCAGAACTACTGAACACACACCAGCAAAACTACTGAACACACACCAGCAAAACTACTGAACACACACAGCAGCAGAACTACTGAACACACACCGGCAGAACTACTGAACACACACCAGCAGAACTACTGAACACACACCCGCAGAACTACTGAACACACACCAGCAGAACTACTGAACACACACCAGCAAAACTACTGAACACACACCAGCAGAACTACTGAACACACACACCGGCAGAACTACTGAACACACACCGGCAGAACTACTGAACACACACCGGCAGAACTACTGAACACACACCAGCAGAACTACTGAACACACACCAGCAGAACTACTGAACACACACCGGCAGAACTACTGAACACACACCGGCAGAACTACTGAACACACAGCAGCAGAACTACTGAACACACACCGGCAGAACTACTGAACACACACCAGCAGAACTACTGAACACACACCAGCAGAACTACTGAACACACACCGGCAGAACTACTGAACACACACCGGCAGAACTACTGAACACACACCAGCAGAACTACTGAACACACACCAGCAGAACTACTGAACACACACCGGCAGAACTACTGAACACACACCGGCAGAACTACTGAACACACAGCAGCAGAACTACTGAACACACACCAGCAGAACTACTGAACACACACCAGCAGAACTACTGAACACACACCAGCAGAACTACTGAACACACACCAGCAGAACTACTGAACACACACCAGCAGAACTACTGAACACACACCAGCAGAACTACTGAACACACACCAGCAGAACTACTGAACACACACCGGCAGAACTACTGAACACACAGCAGCAGAACTACTGAACACACACCGGCAGAACTACTGAACACACACCAGCAAAACTACTGAACACACAGCAGCAGAACTACTGAACACACACCAGCAGAACTACTGAACACACACCAGCAGAACTACTGAACACACACCAGCAGAACTACTGAACACACACCAGCAGAACTACTGAACACACACAGCAGCAAAACTACTGAACACACACCAGCAAAACTACTGAACACACACCAGCAAAACTACTGAACACACACCAGCAGAACTACTGAACACACACCAGCAGAACTACTGAACACACACAGCAGCAAAACTACTGAACACACACCAGCAAAACTACTGAACACACACCAGCAAAACTACTGAACACACACCGGCAGAACTACTGAACACACACCAGCAGAACTACTGAACACACACCGGCAGAACTACTGAACACACACCAGCAGAACTACTGAACACACACCGGCAGAACTACTGAACACACACCCGCAGAACTACTGAACACACACCGGCAAAACTACTGAACACACACCGGCAGAACTACTGAACACACACCGGCAGAACTACTGAACACACACCAGCAGAACTACTGAACACACACAGCAGCAAAACTACTGAACACACACCAGCAGAACTACTGAACACACACCAGCAAAACTACTGAACACACACCGGCAGAACTACTGAACACACACCAGCAGAACTACTGAACACACACCAGCAGAACTACTGAACACACACCAGCAGCAAAACTACTGAACACACACCAGCAGAACTACTGA